GGCGAAAGGAGGACAAGGACAGAAAACAAAAAAAAAGAGCACGAAGGAAACAAAGTAAGGAAGAGGGAAGAGGGTGGCGAGGGCGACAACCACAACGCGGGGGAGGCGAGGCCAAAAGGAACCAAGAAACACCAACACGACGGCACCGGGAAGAAAAGGTGGAAGGCGACAGACGGAAGAAGGGGATGCGGTGCAGGTTGAGCAGAAAATCGACAGCATAGAAGCAGCAGGGCCGACGGTTGAGGTGCCAGCCGGCTTAAAAGAGCCACACACGACGTTAACACAGGATGTGAGGAGGCGGCAGGCAGCAAGCGAATGAGTGTACATCCTTTGGTCTTTCCCCTTGTCGATCAGTTAGTCGCTCACTCAGTCTCTTTTTTTTTCTTCTACATGGAGATTTTCCCGAGGTATACGACGCAGCACCCACAACGCGTTCCTCCACAAGATCCCATCGCCTTACTCCCTCCTTTTTCTTCTTGTTTGGGAATTATAACTGAATGTATGCTGGTTGTGGACCGTGTATACGCATATACATACATATATATATATATATATATGTGTGTGTGTGTATGCAGCTGCGTGTCCAGTGTGTAGTGCTCTCTGCGCGTGTGTATCTGGGCGTATGCTTACTCTTTCCTTGATTGTTGTGTTGTCTTTTTCCATCTCCCTTGCCTTTTTTTCTTTGGGTTTGTGTGTCTCCCTGTGGTTGTGCTGGCCTCCCGCGTGGTCGTCGTTTCTTTTTTCATTTCTTTTTTTTTGGGGGTGGTGGTGGGGTTTTCGTCTCGATGCGTCGTGGCTCCTGCTAGCGCTGCGAGGCACACCGGCGGGTGCGGCCGTGTGCGAGCGAAGACACACACACACACACACACACAGACACGCAGACAGACAAAGACAATGGAGGGCGAGAAAGCGACGAGAAAAATAGGAAAACTCTGCTGGGTTTAATAGGGAGAAGGGGAGGGAGTGCAAAAGTGCGGGTGCAAAAAGCGAGGAAGGGAGACAAAAAAAAGGGGCAGCGGCAGCTGCTGGTGGAAGAAGGCACATGCGTCCAGTGCGTGAAGAATGCGAGGATAGACGTCTGCAGAGTTTTTTTTGTTTTGTGTGACCTCAGAGACACAAGTACCCATGCATAGGTGCATACACGACGTAAGAAGGGAGGAAAAGGAATTTTTTTTTGTTTAATGTCCCAACGAAGGTAAACGCTCCCATTTTTTACGATGATCTGAGGGGAGGATTGATGGTTACACGCTCTCTTCGGTTGTTTTTGCTTTTTGTTTCGGGCTCTCCTACTACTGCGGCTATAACCCCTGTTGCTATTCGTCACAGGAGGTCCTCAGGCGGAGTGCTGCAGTAGCGGGGCTCGGACCAGGACGCGGAAATGAAAGAGAGAGAGACAGGGAGAGGGAGTGAGGGACGAAGAGAGATGCGCGCATGTGCGAGTGCAGCGGCAGCAGTAGAAGCCCTTACTTTCTTTTTTGGACTTGTCCTTACAATAGCTCCTTTGTGCGTCTTTCTCTTGGCGCAAAGATATATATGTTGATCTATATATATATATATATATCTTCTATGGATCTCTGTGTCTGTTGCTGTGCGTGCTGCGCGGTATCACAGCCCCGCCTCAACTGTTGGCGCGGCTCTATTTTTTTCTTGTTTGCTGCGTGGCTTTCACTGTCATTCTCCTCGATTGCACAGGTACACGTGACTCTTTCACAGACTCATCGTAGAGTGGGAGGGAAGATGCAGCGACGCCCGATGCAGCTTGATAATCCCTTCGCTGCGCCGGGGGAGGCGGACAAGGAGAGCGATGGCGAGCGTCGTATGCGCATGGAAGAGGATGGTAGCGGCGGCGTGCTGTGTGAAGGTGCAGAAGCAACAGCAGCAGCAGAGGCGGCGGCAGCAGAGGAGGAGGAGGAGGATGAGGAGGCGGACGACGATGAGTGCCCCACACCGCCGTACGTTCCGTGTCGCTGCCAGTTTGGTCTCTCAGCGCCGGCATTCGTGCTCGACCTGGAGTAGCGGATTATTCCTTCGCTCATTCCCGGGCTGCGGGAGCTGCCTGATATTTTGCGTTGCATCTGTGTGTCTTTGGGCACGGTCTGTTCTTACAGTGTTGGTGCGCCGTGTCGAGACGTGCTGCTTCGCCCATCTCTTCTTTAGACAACGTGATCAAAAAAAAAGCGAGGAAGTGTCGTTGGGGCATGTCGCTGCACGACGCGGCGCAGCCGGCGTGCCTTCTGCAGCTGCAGGAGGACGCGAAGGGGCCGACGACAGACACAACGCGGCAGTTGCTTCTCCAGCAGCAGAAGCAACTGCCGCGGTCGGCTCCGTGGGCACTGCGCCACATTTCGCTGCACCCTGCCACCACTCACTGCGCGGCGCTTCGGCAGCTGCTCGGCGTCGCGGAGGAACGACGACGGCAGGCATTCGGCGACGGTGACGCCGAGGTGGAGGCGCTGCGCAGCCGGCTGGTGGAATGGCCACTCTCAACACTTACGCGATGTGTGCCTGTCCTGCGATTCGCGCGCGGTCTTGTGCGCGAGTGGATAACCGCGGTTGCGGCGTCTTCCCTGCGGCAAAAACAACAACAACAGCAGCAGCAGCAGCCGCTGCGTTACCGACGGTTGTACAACATCTGCTTGTGGCAGAGGCGGCACCCACTGTTCATCCTAACCTCCGTGCTCGACGCGTTTAGCTCGCAGTTGTCTTGCGAGGAGATCGACGACATGTTGGAGGCACTCTCGCAGCATCTCGCGGGACCCCTCAGCCGCATTCCCCACCTGCTGCGGTGCGATGTGCTCATGACATACCACAGGCTACCACTTACACAGCAGCAGCAGCTGATGGAGGCCTTGCGGCCAGCATACTCAACGGAGACAAGTCCTTCTCCACCGGCGCCGGCGCTGTACGTGGGGGGCCACGCGCGCACCGTGCCGCCACGATTCGGGGAAAAGGATCTGCGCGCGGAACAATACGCGGAATTGCGTCGGGCATTCGAGTTGCACAAGCAGGCAGGTGTAAGGCGTCTTCTTTCATGTGTGTCTTAACCGCCCTGCTCTTTATTCTCCTTTCTTCGTTTTGTTCCTCTCCCCCTGGGGCTGGTGTCGTTGCCCAAGTCACGGCGTGCGCCACACGCAACAGATTTACTTTCGTTTTGGTATGTCATTGGAGGTTTTGTGTGTGTGCGTGTGTGTTGTGTGGATGCTGTTGTGTTTGTGTCCCCGACTGTCTCTCTGCGTGCTGTCACTTCTCTCTGCGCATTTCGTCTTCTTCTGCGCCCGCTGCCGCCTGACGGAAGTGAGTTCGCTCTCAAGTTTAGGTTGTGTTGGCCTGTTCATATATCACACGAACAGTTCACTCCTCACGCAGAGCAGGCGCCCTCCACCGCGGTAATAATATATATATATATATATATATAAACGAGGGAGAGGCAAGTGATCCGGGTAGAGAATTTGTGTTTTTTTTTTCCTTGTCCTTTGTTTCATTTGGTCGTGGTAGCGCAAAACTTGGGTACGCGATGCAGGCGATCGTGCAGCAGATACACCGGGCCAACATGCGGGCCATGCTGCTGAGTAGAGTCAACCTTGTCGTCATCGTCGTCAACTGCGCGGTAATGCTGATGCTCATCGTGACGTGGTCCGTGTCGACGGCGAAGGAGGGCGGTGGCGTGCTGGCGCGCTACGCAGCGTGCATCATCGCCTTCATCCTCCTCGCCGCCGCCACGCTGCTTTCGGTGATGGTGTACCGCTTGCAGCCCCAGCTCGCTCTCTACTACGCCCACCAAGTGGTGTCGATCCTCACGCTCTTCGTCACCGCCGTCGCGATGGGGATGAACGACGTCGTCGTCGACCTCTGCAGCACCAACACGCAGCTCGAAAGCACGCAGTGCGCCTCCCACGTGGCGGAGCTCATCGCGGAGCTCCTGGCGTGCCTCTCCATGGGCTTCAACTTCGCCTCCACGCAGCAGCGCATCGTGACCTTCATTGACAAGGGCATCCTCGACGGCATCAAGGGCCGCTCCAACGGCATGACGCAGCTGCCGTAGGCGGTGGTGGCGGCCGCCGGCGTGGCTGCGGGGAGGGGGGGGGGGG